TACCACAAGTATGTATAAGCAATCAGGAACTAAAACCTGGCATCCACAACAACTTCAAAGATCATTCAGTAACCAAACAAAGTCTAACAGAAAAATATGCATAGCCAGATATACTGGTATATGCCCATAATCCTAGCTACTCATGAAGCTGAGGCAGGAAGGTCATTTAGGCCCAGGAACTTAAAGCCAGCCTGGGCAACTAGTGAGACCCTTATCTTCATGGACAAAATGGTAAGTATTGAAGGACCTAAAAGTTGGTGGAAAAAAAAATCAAAGCTAAACATATTGGCATCTACTTGTAATCCCAGCACTCAGAAGGCTGTAACAGGAGGCTCTTCATGAAGTCAGAGATACCTTGGGCTATATAAGTGAATTCAAGGCCAGCCTGCATTACTTAGCAAGACCCTGTCTCAGAAAGAAAAATAAATAAAATTATAAATCAGACTATCATAAAAAGCCCAAGTCCGCTTAAATCTATTCTGCATAGTTACATTAAAAACTTTGACAGAAAATGAAATGGGACCATGATTCTAAATATCACATCATAGAATAATCTAGGATTAGTCAAGGCAAGGACAAAAAAGAACCAAAGGAGGAAGCTGGGCATGGTGGCACACACCTATAACTGCAGAACTCCGGGAAGCTGAGGCAGGAGTATCACAAGTTGGAACTCAGTCTGGGCAACTTAATGACCCAGAGCTAGACCCTGGCTAAAAAAAAAAAAAATTAGAAACACAGGGAAAACATGGAAAGAGTTTCACACATATCTCATAATGGAGGATATACTACTCAGTAAATGGTGTTGGCACACTGTTTTTTGTTTGTGCTGCTTGTTTTTTAAAACAGAATAAAAAATAATAGATACAACATTAGAAACAATACAGAATTTCAACAACCAAGATGTTAGGAGTTCAACGATGGTTGTTATATTACATATTATTTATTTTTTAAAACAAGATCTCGGGCCAGGGAGATGGGTCAGTGGAATAAGCGCTTCCCTGGCAAG